CAATTATTTGTATTTTAATAAAAAAAAATTAAGTTCATAAATAAATTAAGTTTATTTGTTGTTTGTTGCTTTTTAATTTTCTAATCAACAGCTGTCAGTCTTAATCAAGAGTTATGAACCCTAAAGTGGATGAGAATTACTAGTTAGACTACTGCAATATGTAGCAAAATAAATATAATTATTAGAGCTTAAAATATTAAGTCCGTGTTTGAACCCCATTACGATAATAAAATGTATCTTGAAATAGTGATTTTTGCAGAATTTGTAATTAAAAAAGAAAGAATATTTTTCGATTTACGTATAAAATTATTTTATAGGAGAACGTGTGGTTGAAAATGAGTTTTGAAAAAAAAGAGGGCCAAACATATGCAAAAAAAAAAAAAAACACCTGCTTGCCTTGTTGTTCGTGAGAGGATGAGATTATAGTGTTCGAAAGTTGATTATCGATTCTGAAAGAATGGTTTGTAATCCAAGTAGTTGAGTCGTGACTATCTTAGTTGTGATTTCTTAGAGTGAACAAGATCTGTTAGGTTGTGGTGGTGACAAAACTGCTCAATTCATACATGTCATACAAGTTTTGATTTTTACTACATATCATGGATATTCATTATATTTTCTTGTTCTATTATAAGTTATTGTACACTTTTTCATCATTGTACCATTACCTGGCTCAGCCTCCTATTCAGCTTGGAGGTGGATTGATTTTGTTTTTTTGACTACTAATTGCTACCTTCTTCTATATTTTTATTTCAATTGCAGGGAGTTTTTTCTTCATTTCTATGTCAGTTGAGGATAAAATAAACTTGATGAAATTATCATTTTCAAGTAAATTATTGTATTCCATCTTGTAAATTACTGCTTCCTCTTTGTTCAAGTTTTGGATTGTCCTTTACATCTTTATCAAACATTTTTTTTTATACTAATGAGTTTATTAAAATTTTGTAATACAAGCTCTCATCAATTCTTAGCATTCAAGACGCTAACATAACCTTAAAAATAACACAATCCGTGCATTGCACGGGTCAAAAACCAGTTTAATTAAAAAGAACAAAATAAAGAAAAAGATTATCGAGTGGCAATTAATTCATACCTGTCAATTACATGCCTCGAGTGTTACTTTAACGTTTCATTTAGATCCTCAAAGACCTAAATGGTATATAAAAATAAAAAAATTTGAAAAACAATTTGATTAATTTGACAAGGACAATTAAATTCACGTCATAATTTTTATTTCTTGCACTACATTTTTTGGATTTGAAGATCTCAAAATTTGCTCAATATGACACCTATGTCCCTAACGATTTTCCTTGTCATTCTTATCCTCAAACTTTTTATTAGTTAACACATTTTGTATTTGATAACAGTTTCATGTCCAAAAGTCTGTTGAAATGATGTAAAACAACTTATTTTTTCATCATATTTAAAAACAAACAAATAAATAAAATTGCAAATTTTTTTTCCCTCATTTCAAAACATGAAAACAAAATATTTT